AAGAAAACCCTCATATATATATATATATACACCATGCATCTCAAATTGTGAATCGCTAGACTCTAACTCCTAAGGTATTATAAACAAATAATAAATCAAAACGTCACAAAACCTCATCCAAAACATAGCATGAAAGTCAAAACACAGTATTACACACTACCCTCGGGGGTAGGAGACACGGGAGCAAATACACAATCCTGTGTAGTTCTCTTCAACGAAAATGATGTGAAGTATAAGTGCTCACAGTATCCTATGGCTCATCGTAATATCATGCGGCTTACTACCTAACTCGGACACTAAACAAAGTATAGTCATATCAGCTTATTTCGGAACACGATGCAACAAAAGAGATGTAGAGTCTCGATGCTCATAGTATCATGTGATTATTACAGTACCATGTGGCTCACAACCTGACTCGGACATCTATGTGGAAGTATGATGCAAAGTATAGGTACTTGTAGTATCCCGTGGTTCATCGCAATCTCGTGCGACTCATAACTTATCTCGGTCATCCATACAAACATTTGACGCCGACTTATGCAACTCGTTAGTTGTCGTCCCTACGTTGCGACGAGCTCAACACATGGCTACACACTTTTGAGGATCCGTGCGTGCCTAATCTCAGCATGTACACTAACATGGCTATGCACGTGTATCGACGTGAGGGCCCGTCCTTCATGTTCATGACCAAACGTGTGTGGAAGATCATCATAAGCAGAAAAGCATCATATCAGTCGACTGCCTTTGAGGATCGATCGACTGACATATGATCGGTCGACTGATATTCCATCAGTCGATTAGGAGTTGATGTGCATAATGTGCACAATCTAAACAATCTCGATCAATCGACCGATATCTTATATCGGTCGATGATCGACCGACCAGAGAGAAAACCTAAGGTTCTGAAGAACTAATCGGTCGACTAATCAATAGGGTTAGTTGACCGACCCGAACACTGAAACACAAATTTACTAGGTTTCTAAGGTTAATTGTTGTTTATTGTTTTTCCCAAAAACTCGTGATTTATTAACATGGGGTGTGAACTAAGATTTAGATCTTGTATTAACTTAAGTGAAATCTCAACCAAACAAGTATACATCAACAAAACATGGATTTTTTGGGTTTAAACTCCCTAAACATCACTAAACGGATTTTAGTTGATTAATTAGGGTTCTAAGCCTAATCAGTTCATCAGTTAATAACTAATTATAGTTTTAAACATCAAGATCATGTCTTTTCTTTATTTAGTGTTCAGATCTATAGATCTATTCATCAAATTAGGGTTTAATCTAATGAAAACGAAAATCTAAGGGGATGAGTTTGGGAAGAGATGAACTTGTCTTAACCAATTCGTGTTGATCTCTCAAATGTGAGATAAACTCGATTCTCCTTCACCAAATGCTATTGATCTCGCCCTCCTTTTGCACTTTGCTTCTCAAAGCTTCTCCAAATTTGAAAGGAGATTCTGTAGGGTTTCTGACGAAGAGAGACAGCTGCTCAACGTGAGAGAAGGGTTAAGGAGGGAAAAAGTTCGAGTTTTATATGTATATATATACACATATAAGCAGACCCAACCCGAACCTAAACAAAATCTCCAGCTGCCGACCGCTCGACTGAATCAATAGGGGCAGTCGACTGACCACATACTGAAGCAAACTCGATAGCTACTTATATACGTACATGTTGAATATATATATATATATATATATAATATATATATATATATATATATATATATATATATATATATATATATATATAATATATAATATATATATATATATATATATATATATATATATATATATATATATATTAATATATATATATATATATAATATATATATATATTATATATATATATATATATATATATATATATATATATAGATATACATACATACATACATACATACATACATAATTCAAATCGATTACAAACAGATCCATTCATCCCAGAATGAAATCAACCATAATAAAACTCATTTATTATTATTTTCCATGATATTTTTAAATTTACGTTGTTTTACAAGTATAGTAGGTTATAATGAAAGTATAGCTTGATATTATGAAAGTATAGCGGGTTATTCTGAAAGTATAGTCAGTTGTTATGAAGGTATAGTATGATATTATGAAAGTATAGTGAGTCATTATGAAAATATAGCGTGATAGTTTTAAAGTATATCATCTATTCTGAAAGTACAGCAAGGTAATATGAAAGCATATATAGCATGATATTATGAAAGTATAACAGGTTATAATGAAAATATATGATATTATGAAAGTATAGCAGATTATTCTAATAGTGTAGCGAGTTTTCCTGGAAGTGTAGCGGGTTATCTTAAAAGTGCACAATAATACAAGGTTATCCTGATGGCCCACAATCATATATCAAACATATAAGGTTATCCTGATGGCCTACAATCATACAAGGTTATCCTGGAAGTGTAGCGAGTAATATGAAAGCATATCAAACATATAAACAAACAATCATACCAAACATATAACAAAACAATCATACCAAAAAAATCATATCTTATAAAATAAAGTGTATGATACTTACACAAAAGTAGAACACAAAAAATCATGCATGGTTGCTATATTTTGCTTACATGTTTCAAAAATTAGAATATAAAAGCTAATTTAGTCACCAATAGGTTGTTTACATATTCTACAGTTATGACCATACTGCTGACATCTATTACACTTTAATTGTATATGGGAATTCAATCTTGAAGGAATGCGTTTTATTCTTAGTCTTCCACGAAGAATTCTTGTTGTTGGCATCCAAGTCACCATATTTTCATCATATAAATATGATTCGTCATCACCAAGAATTGGGTATATAAGAAATGACAAATTCCCATTAACATTCAATTTAAAAAAATGATTATTTCTACTAAAATCTATCAATGCATAATATAATTCTTCATCCATCTATGTTTGTCACTAAAAATAAATAAATTTATGCAAAATTTTATCAAAAACAGTAAACTAAAATCAAGTTTAACTAACTATAAAATGTGAAATAATTTTCTTGAATTCATAAATAATAATGTAAAACATTTTTCCTGAATAAAATAAGAAATTAATGATAAAAATTAAGTAGTTGAGTAAAATGCAAAATTATACCTTAAATTATTAAGAAAGTCCACCAAAATCAAGCAACAACACTCTACACATTAATAAAGTTGAGAATTAATTGATGGATTCATAAGAGTCATTGAGAATTAATTGATTGGTTCGAAAAAGAGATTAATTCAAAGAGAGAGGAGAAGTTAATTAAGAGAGGGGGGGGTTGGGTTTAGGGATGGTTAAATGGATTTAAAAAAAAATTTAAGTGAGCCTACATATATGAAAGAATTGAGGGAAAAAGAAAGATGAGTTTGGAAAGAGTATAATTGGATTTAAAAAATTTTTAAGGGGAGCCCGCATATGTATATGTATTGTATTTTAAAAGTTAGGTTTAGAGATAAATACTAAAGATAAATGTGTTCAATGATACAAAATAAATTAGTTAAATTTAAAGATAAAGTAAAGTTTTGGACCTAAAAATAAAAAGTCAATGTTTGATGAAGCTTTACCTCTTACTTGTTTGTAGCTTATAAGTGGAGGAAAAAAAAAGTTTGGGATTCCCCACCTTACTTTTCCCCTACTTGCAAGGAGTTTTACTTCTTCAAGCCAAAAGATCAAATTACCCCTCCAAGCCCCTTTATCATCCTACAACAAATCTCTAAATACGATATTAATTAAATACTATCAATATTAGTAACTAATAAGAAAAAAAATATATATATAAACTATACTTTTGTTAAATATTTTATTAGTATAGAGTGGTTATTACTAACCAAATAATAATTATTATTTAATTAATATGAAATTAATATTAATATCAATATTAGTAATTAATAACCACAAAGAATGTAATACATATAAATATAATCAAATATACTTCTTATTATGAGATAATTAATTAATAACGAGATAGTTAATTAATTTTTATTAATAATACTTGATTAATATGAAATTAATTACTTAATCTCAATATAATTAATTAATAATCATGATTAATGTTAAATAATAATAGTGTGAAACATAATTAATATTCGTATAGAAGTGACACTTTGACCAAATTAGAAGAGTGGGATTCTAAAGTTTTTTTTTCCAAAATAAAGATAAAAATATCAAAAAGATAATCACGAGATCCATCTCACCGAAAATTCAATTGTCAAATAGAGATTAAGGTACAATTTTAGAGCAAAACTTGTGTCACATTTAGTGGACATCCACACAACTTTTAACCCTTGCGATGTTTCCTAGGGTCCTTGCATGATATGAAGTGACTTTTTATATGTTAAATGAGGTGGATATAAAGTTGGTGGACACACTATTCACTTATCCACTTAAGTTGACACAAGTTTCTTATATATACTATATATATATAATATATAATATATATATATATATATTATATATATATATATATATAAATCTTGATAACGTTTTTTTTCACACTTTGATAACATATATACATTTTTTATTTTGATTTTACACATTTTCTAAGATACCTCAAATATGTACACATTTCTTAAATATGGTATCTCAAAATTTACATGTTCTTAATTTTGATACTTGAAGTCATGGGGTATCAAAATGTTAAAAGCAAAATGTTGAGGTACCAAATCTACAATGGTGCGAACTTTTGGGTGGTATCGAAATTTAAAAAAATTGTAAACTGTAGGATATGAAGTGTCTTTTTTTTTAAGTATCAAAAGATTCTAAGTTAAAAAAAAGAGTTGCATACTTTAAGGCACAAGTGCATATAACCCAATAAAAAAGTAATAATTTGGATATTAAAACTACAAGTTTCTCCTCACGAAACTTAATTACACATACCATCGGCCCATCATCACAAGTAAGTAGTTTAATACCTCGGCCCATTCAAAAGCCCAACAACGCATAACAACGCGGAAGCTTCGAGACGAGTCGCGTTCACTAACCAAACCCCTTTTAATTTCGTCTCCGGAGAGTCAGCGAACCGCAGCCCAAACTTGTCGGAGATCTACCCATCGATCGTCCTCCAAATTTCTAGGGCTTTCCTTTCCTCTTTCCTCTTTTAGAAATCAATGGCGACGGAGGCGGAGGACGCTGAGAAGCAATCCTCGTACACGTACTGGGTGAGGGAGGCGAGGGACGACGCCGCTCCGTTGCCGGTCCCCAAGAAGCTGACGGCCGATGACATCTCCAAGCAATCGCAGGCTAATCCCAATTCGCTTGGATCTGTTTGGAATCAGGTGAGCTTGATCTTTGTATCAGTCAAAGATTCGTTCTTGGATTGGATATGATTTGATTTAGTTTGTTAATATGCACGGAAGTTGGTGTAAATGTTTTTGCGCTCGTATTGTGGTAATTATTATGTGTTTTTTTTTCTAACTTCTCATCATCCAAAATGAACACCCAAAACAAATATCTTTGTAACAATTTCCAAGAAACGTAGGCTAGTTTTATTAGAATAATATCAATGTAGGTGGAAGAGTTGTTTTTATTATTTAAACAATGTTCGTCAACAAATTACAGGAGTAATATAATTTGGTGTTTATTTAAATGACGAGTCATTCCCAGTTTAGTCGTTATCTTGTTGGCACCGGCATACTGTTTGGATTTGGCTTTTGGAAAGGTTGCTGTTTGCTACCACTTGAAAGCCTGTCTTGTGCTTCACAGCCTTTTCTTTTTGAGGATTCTTTTGCAAATAAAGATAATATGTTGGAAATTTATTACCTGATGGGACAAATTTTCAAAACCGACTTGTTTGCCAAAAAATTCCCAAAAGCTAGTCCCGTTTCAGATGAGGCTGAAACTGGGTCGGTTTTTGAAAAAAAAAGTTTCCAAAATTCACGGGAGTTAAAAGTTCCATGCAGTTTTGTACATAACAAAACTTCACTGGAGTTGAAGTCCCGTGAAGTTTTGTTATGTAAAAAACTTCACGGAACTTCAATTCCCATGAAGTTTGAGAAAAAAACCCACCCAGTTTCAGCCTCAGGTTAAAATTGGGTCGGTTTTGAAATTACATCTGAAACGGTTTTTTTTTTGAGAATAAGTTTCAAAACAGGTCGGTTTTGAAAATTTGTCCTGACTTTAGATTTTATGTAAAGTGTACGAAGGAGTTTTATACTGAGGATATAAAAATAAAATGTAAATGAGTGTTTGGTGAAGCCCTTTCTTCTTTTTTTAAAAAAAAGTCAATGTATTGTCTTTTATCAGCTATCTGTGAAAAGGAATCAGTGTTGCTTTGGATTTTTTGTCACTTTTGATATTTTAGCCTTTGTGTTCCACTGTCTTTTAGGCGAGTCAATTAATTTTACAAGTTTTCTTTTTTAGTTTCTCTTGTTTAATTTTCATTTATAGTTTGAAGGGGAACTGTCATTTATATCCAGTTTTTTTTAATTTTAATAGGAGTTGTTGATACCCTTAGATCTTGTATTCCCATTGTTGTTAATGACTAAACTGAATGCATAGCGACAGATAATATGACAGAGTAAACTAAGTGATGAGTCAATAATCAGCTGTTAATTCAATTTGCACTCGGTAGTACCTAATGGAATGTACTTGGTACACTTTAACTGGACTAATTGAATTTGCTACTAACTTATTTAGTGTTTTTAGATAGATTGGAGTACAAATTTTAAAATCTAAGGGGGGCATGTTTTAGATATTGTAAGAGTTTATATGCAATTTCTAAACTTTTAGGGTGTAACTACAGTCTACACCCCCAAGCAAGAACCTAAATCTGTCTGTCAATAATTATGGTTGACTATGAAGCTATGATAAACTGGTTTGCATTGAAAACTGTTAGCAGGCAGTGGGTAGTCATATGTTCTTTCTATATACAAATTGTTTAGTCACTACTATGAGTAAATAACTGTCATTGTGATGCATGCCATTTTGCACAGGTTAGAGTGATTGATTATTGATTACTTTAAGACAAAGATATAAGGAATTGTTGGATGTTATATTGTACTTTTATCTGATGTCCTTACGAGCTCTGCAAGTTTCCGTTCTCTTGACTGAATTTTATTCTTATTATTGCTTCTTTGAACTCGCTCCATCAGCATGAGGAAGTTCTGATTTTCATTGCCTATGTAAGTTGTTTGCTCATATATTCCTATGCTGTGACACACCAAAGTGTTAGTGGATAAGTTTGATTATCTGAGTGCTAAAAGTTCTCAGATCGCTTACTATTACAACATTAAGAAGTTTACATGACTTGTTTTGAGGTCATCATGTGTCATTCAAAAGGTTGCGAACCAGGGGCGGAGCTATATGGGGCTCGATAGGGCCCTAGCCCCTTCTTGGATAATATAAAAAGGAAAAACAATTAGTATTGATGTTTTGTAATTTTCTAAATAACAAGGGCTAAAGTGTAAACCCTCTAGCAAAGACAAAAGCCTCCCTTTTTCTTCTATAATTAATAATTTTATTAACTTGATTAGGGTTTTAGTTTTTTAGGATGTCTACTTTTTTTCTATCTTGATTTGTTTAGGTTTTAGGATTTGATTTGTGTAGGAAATTCAATTCTAGTCAATTGATTTGTGTAGGAAATTCAATTCTAGTCAATTATAATTATTTGATTCCTAATAAAACTGAAGGTATTAATGTCTACCTTGCATCTCAACAAAGTAATCACGCTTCAATTCCTTAAAAAAGAAAATCATCACCCTTCAATAATATACATGGATTATATTTTAAGTGATAATTTGCATTTAAATTTTTTCATATCCATACATTTTATTATTTTTCAGTCATGAAAAGTTTTTCTATCCTAAGAAATCAGATACATTCTGCCATCAATGGGTGATGGTGACTCAATTATGTAACAATTTAGGGTTTCTTCTACCCCATCAGGCCATCACTATCATCTTCATCCCCTCATCCTCCGCCCTCACAAATATATTTTGCTACATTGACGAGGAAGATGCTATGAAATGATTTTAAGAAATAACGGCAAGAAGAAAGCTAGTTTAAACACTGTTATGATTGGAAATATGATTTGAAAGTCTGATTATGTAATGATCTTTAGATGGTAATTAATTATGCAAAAAATTATATGTTATCATGTTTAATTATTTTTTGGACCCCCTTTTGGAAAGTTTTGGCTCCGCCACTGTTGTGAACGATGTCTAGAGATCCTTGACGTCTATATGTGGATCTGTGCTCATACTAATGCAAACTGGTGCTTTTTCTGACCTAATTGTTTCATGCCTACAGTCCAATTCCTGCTTTGGTTATTTATTGGCTTTATGTTACATATATGAAGAGTGGAGTCATGTAAGTAGCACTTTGTTTGGGTCAAAGGAAGTTAGATAGAATCTGTTATCCCCAATGTTTGGAAAAGCTTTTTTAAATCTCGCTTTGAAACTATTTGAAAGGTAAACGCTTCAAAATTCAAGAGTGAACCTATTTATCCCTTGAAGCTTCTGGTTCATCGCTTGAACCATAACTGAAGTGTGTGTGTCACACTTCATAAAGTGCTTCTCTTTTGAAGCGTACGCTTTAGACAAGGTAGGAGGATAAATAAAAGGATTTTTGACTAACATTAAGGTGCCCTTATGTTAGGCTTAATTTCTACTGATTTGCGTCTATACTTCACATATTTAATTCTTATTAATTAATTAGGACATGTATGTATCTATTTGCAAATTGTTATACTATTGTATATAATATGTTACATAATTTTAACAGATTACAGATTTTACAAATAAAATGTTTAAACTCATGCTTACTCCTCACCTTGTGAAGCTTACGCCTTGCTTCATTAAAGGGTCCGACGCTTCGCCTTGCGCTTCCGCTTTTTTAAACATTGGTTATCTCTTGGTGCGTACAATTCAGTTTGCTTATTGAACAAATTTAGGCAGTGATAGCAACTTGCATCTTCTTTTGCCAAAAAATTGCAGGAGTCGCCCCCTATTTCCTTTTTTTTCCAGTTGTAACAATTTGATGTATTGTTATTATGATAGTCTTTTCAGCTTTGAGTTTGGAGCAGATTTCTTTTAAGATTTGCCCTTTTCGTAAAGACATTATCAATTTTGCTTATTTAAATAGGAAACGGGGAAGTTGATGAAAAGTATACTAGATGTGACTGTACCAACTGTTTGCATTTAAATTAGCCAATGAAATTCTTAAGTTAATGAGAAATTACGGATGTTGGGTAGTTTCTATTTTGATTTTGCCCATTCTGATTTTTATCATTTTATGCCCGACTTAACTTGGGATTAGTTGACGCTTTTAATTGACTCATTTTCATTTGTTTGTTTTGAAATTTGCTGATTTTCGTTAGTCTTGATAAGAATGATCTGCATGTGCCTACAGGCTGGAACATGGGAGGAAAGGAACCTTAATACATGGGCAAGCAATAGAATCAAGGTTTTGTATTATACCTTGCCAGGATTCTGTGTTGGTATTTTTTGTGGTTTTGGGTGGGTTCTTGTAGTGTTTAAATTTTTTTAGGAAACACTTTGCAATATTTGGTCTTCAACTGCAGGAGCTTCTTGGCTCATTGGGCACATTGGAGTTTTCTAGTGGTAATGCAAATATTTCAGAAGTGTCCAAATGCTCAGGCGATGTAAGTACATATTTGCCATCCTTGATTTGTCGAAGGACATTTCTATAAAAACTTTGTTATGTACATGAAGGTAAACTGTTTCTTTTGACAGAAAATGATGATTGGAAGATGTAGATATTTTGATTTCCATTAATTTCTTAGCATATTCTTGACGTCAAGGGCATATGCTTCTTCGTACATGGATTTAGGCTTATTCTGAATTTGATTATTTTGCTCTGTTGTTGTTGAATTTCTGTAAGGCTCCTGCTCATTTATCATTATATTAATGTGTTACATGACTTTAATGGTAAAGGCATAATCAGCATCATCGTCATCATTGTCAAACCTTTCCCCATGGATGGGTTGGTTACTGTCGGACTTAGCACCACTTATCTATTAGGTTGTCCCTGTTCTATTTTGATTGGGAGTTTGGTATACATATAATTCTTGTATCTTACCTATTCCTGGATATCTGTCATAACACCCCAGTAGCATCTTTTCCTCCATCTTGGCGGGAGTAATTTTATCAATTTTTTTATCCTAACTTATGTTTTTTTTGACATTATGTCATTATCTGGAGAGATTAGATTTTATCCTTCAGCTCTTTATTATTCTGCGCTTCCACCTGAACCCAAGATAGAATTGACTTGGACGCTAATTATAACAAGACACCATTCTTGAATGTTATTAGGTACTAAAGTGTCGGTTTTGTATAACTTCATTCTGAAACATAGATTGTTCAGTCGTCTGTTTGTTTCATGCTGAGCTCTGGGAGGTTCATTAGTCTTGATGTGATTTATATCATTTGAGTGAGGTGAGACACTACGATAGAATTGACTTGGACCCAAGATAGAATTGACCTGAACCCAAGATAGAATTGACTTGGACGCTAATTATAACAAGACACCATTCTTGAATGTTATTAGGTACTAAGGTGTCGGTTTTGTATAACTTCATTCTGAAACATAGATTGTTCAGTCGTCTGTTTGTTTCATGCTGAGCTCTGGGAGGTTCATTAGTCTTGATGTGATTTATATCATTTGAGTGAGGTGAGACACTACGAAAGGGGAAGTTAGCTAAAAACATTTTATGCAATTTATTTTCATGTTATATCTCTACCCTTAACACGTCCTATTACCCTGGAATCGTAGATTGCAGTGCTATTTGTTGTTCAATTGAGATGTGCTGAGTGGATGACTTCTCTGTCATTCCCAATTCCTCTTTTATGTCTAGTGGCTATGTATAAGTGGGTTTCTTTAGCAGCTTTTTTTTTTGGCTGGGTTCATCTTAGCACTTTATGTAGATGCTAAATGTCAATCCTTTTCATTTGAGTAGGCATTCTTGGTCACAGTTCGGAACAAAAAAAGAGTTGGATATACATATGAACTGACGTTGAAATTCAAAGGTACAGTGGCAAACTAGGTGTATGTATTGTCATGATAGATTACTCTGGGTCCCACTATTTTTCCTCTTTAATTTTATTTCCTCGAAACAGGGGAATGGTTAGTTAAGGAGGAGAAAAAAAAGATAAAAGGGCATCTTGATATTCCTGAGTTCTCATTTGGTGAATTGGATGAATTACAGGTGCATTGTCATAAACATCACATAGACATATTTGATGATATAATACTATTATTATCCTCAAAATCTGATATGACACTTTCCATTTTGGCTTGCAGATGGAAGCTAGGCTCAATGATGATAAGGATCTTACCGCAGAGGAGAAAATGCGGATCAAGAAAGATCTGCGTTCATTTTTGATCCCCATCCGAGGAAAACTAGTGGAATTTGAACAAGAGCTCAAAAATAGATGACAGAAGATGGGGGTTTATTTGCTATGGACCCTCCCTTTTTAGCTCAGAGTTTGTCATTCCTTTCTGTTACTACTGGACGTGTCAAACTACTAGTTTAACGGTAGCATCAGTTGTGTCGTAACCTCATACACGAAAGTCTTAATGTATTCCACGTACTATGGCGATGTATCAGGCCGATGTTTTGAACACAAAACTATCCAACTAGCATTGGGCAAAATTCTGAATTGGTGTGAATGTGTTATTGGTTTCTTCTCATTTAATCTGGTTGTTTATTTGTATCGAGTAGATTACTGCCATTTCGATTGGGCAGATACAAATTTATCTGGGAATAGGTTGTCTCTTTTACAGCGTGGATTATTTAGAAAGTGGATATATTGTGACTGATTGGTGAGAAAATCAAAATAATTTGACGAGAAGTAGTTGATGCGCTCGAAGATATTTAAACCGAAAGATTGGAGTGCAAGTAAATTTGAATTAAGTATGAAAAGGTTAAGCGCCAAATTCTCTGGCCTGGTTGGGGTCTGTTGCTCTCTGTAGAAGTCTATGAGGATAATGACCTTGATAGTAGGGACGGAATCTTGCTTCTGAATGTGTTTTGAGCGTTAATGCCATGTTCAAATTTGCCAATTTTGCGGCTTGGTTTTGCAAATTGTGATTGTTTTTCATTTTCCTTGGCCGTTGAGAGATTGTGGTCACTCATTCGTGCCAAAACTTCAACCACAAAGGGTTTGAAAAAATTAAATGTATGTCCTGAAATGTGCAAGACCAAAACGGGGGACCTTGCATAGCCAGAAGGCGCATTGCACCCTTTAGCCATGCAAGTTTGAATAACTGGTTTTCGAATCGGATAAACTCTTGTTCGGGGAAAGAAAAAAAGAACCCAATTTTAATATTGATTTACAAAATTTGACCTATTTTACAATTCAAAATATGTACACAATAGCAACCCAAATTATATACACACCATCACCCCAACGTGTCTCCATAACGCATAACTTGTGTTGTACATAAACCAATTTCACTACGAAATATGTACGCGACAACTACTCAAATTTATATACGCATCACTCCAAAGTATATCTATAGGGCCGTTACACAACCTGTGTCGTATGTAAGTAAACCCGTATCATTTAGCCACTAGTCTTAAAGATCCATAATATTTACAACACAAAACTAACGTCGTGACAAATATATTTCCTACAACTATGTATTCTTTCCCCCCTTCCTCTCCCTTACCTTCCCCGTCCCCGTTTGCACTAAGAACTTAGTTTGGTAGAAGATGAGGCGAGGTGAGAGACAATTTAAATGAACTAGAAATGAGAAGATAGAAGAACTCCTCTAAATTGGAGGGGTTCAATAGAAGAGAGAGAAAAAAAACTAAAAAGTAGTACATGTTCTGTCTCCTCTTTTTTGATGTTTTTTTATTGTACTCTGCAAGTTGACAGTTTGATCCATAGGGAAAATTTGTTAGGAAAACTCTATCTTAAAATCCTTGGTTTGAAAAAGGTTTTTGACTGTGAAAGAGGTTGGTTTTTTTAGTAATAGACTTAAAGTAGATTGCTTGGGCTAACTCCTATAGATATTCTCAACTAGATCTTTTATTTATCTCTTTTATTTGTTAGAACCGTACAAGTATAAGCTATGTTTTGTTAAAAACTATAACCTATCAATTAGCTTAATCTTTTATTTACTAGAACGCTAAAAGCATAAGCTATATTACGTTGGAAGCTATAACCTATCAATTAGTTAATCCTGATCTTTTTAATTAATTAGTTTAGACTTTTTATTACTAGGGTTTAATCTCCTAAATATAGGTTACGCCTAACTAAATCCTATAACCTATCAAATTATAATTAACCCTAGCTTGTATTAATCTAACTAATCAACCTCCTTACTTAACCTAAAGAGTTCTTTTTATTTATCTAGATTAGTTATCCAGCTTTGTTAACCTAAGCCCCATAAAGGTGATTAGCTACTCATGACTAATTAAAAAGAAAAAAAGATTAAAAAGAATTAAGGAAAAAGAAGAAAGAATAAGAAAAATAAGAAAAAGAACAAGAACAAGAACAAGAAAATAAAAATAAGAAATTAAACTACTAAACTGAAGAAACTAAAAAGAAGAATTTAAACACCAAAATAGCAAGCAAAAAGAAGAACTTTATTGATTTTTTAGAAATTGAATGTACAAAATACAATGGTCCTAGGCCCCTTTCATACTATAGAAGAGTCTCTCACAATCGTATGATTAAACTAGATCCCTAGGTAACCCTTCTAACCATAGGATTTGACTTGGCCCCTAATTAATTTATTTCCTGATACAAACAAGAGTCTTAAACAACTGCACAATTTCTTGTTTTTTTGGTAAAATTGGGAATTCCTGGTGGGATTTTAGAAAATTGTCATTGGATGGATTTGTCTCGTTGAGATAAATAATTTGGACAAATTTTTAAAACAATCACTTTTGCAATTTTATTCCCAAAAAACGACCACTTTAATTTTTATTTGTAAAAACCGACCTGGTTTCAACCTTAGCGCTGAAACCAGATCAGTTTTTACAAAAAAAGTTCCGAAACTTCACGGGAGTAGATAGTTTTTAATTAAGCTGCTAAACTTCAAAGGAGTTAAACTCCCGTGAAGTTTCTTAGTTCAAAAACAAAATTTTTGAACTGTGAAAACTCCCGTGAAGTTTCGTAGCTTAATTAAAAGCTGCTATCAGAACTTTTTTTTGTAAAAACCGACCTTGTTTCAGCCCTGAGGCTGAAACCAGGTCGGTTTTTACAAATAAGAGAGAAATGAGTTGTTTTTTTGGGAATAAATTTGCAAAAGAGTTTATTTTGAAAATTTGTCCTAAATAATTTTCATATATAATATATTAGATTCTGATTTTTAGATTAGAAGATATTATTTTTTTCTTTGTAGTTGAAAATATGAATCCGAGTTTGACTAGATTTTATTTTCTGGGCTTCCAAATAATTTATATTTCTTTTTTCTCTTAATTCCTTGCTACATATTTGATTTAAGCTTAATTGCTTATTCTAGAATTTGAGTTTTTTGGCTTTAATGAGCCTTTTTAAGCGTCTTTGGGCTTCTCTTTATTGAAAATCATTTTTCTTAAAAATTCACTAAAAACCTGAGTAGTAATTCAATATACACAAAAATAAAGACAAATGGGGATATATAATAATAAAATACCCCATACATAAATTTTGTTAGTCCACGAGCAAAAAGAAAAAGAAAAAAAGAGAAAGAAAGAAAAATCCTAACTCATTTTCATAGGAACTGTGATTGCGTATGATATGTGCAATAAGCCATGACTGAGTTCTCATGAGATTTTGTAGTGAACATACCCATAAAATTCAATCACTTTGCCAATTTGAATAAATCAAGATATAAATAAACTTTTAATCATTAATAAAGAAATATTTTCATTGTAAAATATTATATAAAAAATATAGAAGTTTTATTTTTAGCTGTGATAAAATTATGCTTGCTTATCCCTTCAATCAATTTTTTACATATTTTTGATATAAATTAAGTACTAGCCAAGATTTTTTTTATTTGGAGAGGAAAATTTTATTTTATATTTCTTTTCATTCATTAGTAATTTTTTTCACTTTCTCGGGCTTTTACTGAGTGACTTCGTAATGAGTTTTAGGCCAATGAACTCTAATCCAGTTGGACTTAAGTCATTCAGCATAAAAATACTCCAAGGGCTTAATTGCTCAGTCAGATTAGGCTCAATAAGATAGAATCACTTTAGAAATCAAGGTTATTCTAGTTGGTGCCCTTTTTTTGCATCTTTTCATGATGTATTTACTTTTTCCTTTTCTTGGATTTTGTTTTGGATCAAAAAAGACTTTAGAAATTTGACAAAAGTTCTAAGTTAAACATAAAAGTTTCTTCGCTTTAAATAAAATTCTAAATTAATAATATAATATAATACATTAAAATATTTTCTTAAAGATTTATTAAAACTTATCAAAAAAATGCCAACTTAAGAGAAATATTACCTATAAACTAATAAGCTTAATAATAATTAAAAGTCTATTGTTAATTAATCATTCAATTGGCAAGTGATGTTTTTTTATTTGAATTTTTTTAAGAAAATAAACGGTAAGTAATCCCTTCCCCGCACCTGAATCTTGCATTGTGCTGATGGCAAATCAAATAATAATGTAAAATAAAAAATAGGAAATACAATATTCACATTCTACATATGCTCTTCTCTTCTTGGTAAAAATTTAACCTCGAGTTTGATAGAAAGCTAAAATGAGAAACTTTACAATGAGCTTGAACTATGCTTGCCCATTCTGTAAGGTCTTCAACAATTTCTATAGCACTCAGGTCGACAGAGGATCTGATCTATCAAACTGAATCTGCACTTTTTCTTTAGTTGAAAAAGACTCATACTATACCATACTCTGACTTTTCCCAAGAGGAAATTTAGGCTCGAATTTGGACTCAAGTGCCGCATGATCGAATGTGTATCGTAAATCTTCCAATAGCATTATCTCATCCTTAGAAATTTCCTCTAAACTAAGATTGATGATTTTTTATTCTTCCTCAAAAAGTTCATTTGGGACTACCTGAGTTAGGTTCACATCTAGGGGTTGGTTGGATGGATCAACTAGTTGCTTCCCTAAATTAAAAATGTTAAGATCTACAATCATATTTTCAAAAGAAAGTTTATTAGATTGGTTCTTCAATGATCAAGGTATTGGACATGTCTAAGAACGGTCTACCTAAGATGATTGGAAGTTAACCTTTAGGGTTCGGAATAGGTTGAATTTCTAGAACAATGAAATTTAAAGGAAAGATAAAATCCCCAACCTTTATAAGTACGCACTCTATTTCTCCCTTCGGCACCTCAACTGATCTATCAGCTAATTAAAGGGTAACTTTAGAGGGTTTAAGTTCTCCTCCATGTAATTTTTTTATGGACCAAAAATAGGAGAAAATTCACGCTTGCACCTATGTCTAAAAGTAATGTTTCCTATAGTGCATGAAGTAGTTGGACAATCTAAGTCTTTATATTTCAAAAGCATGGATTTGGATATGATTTCACTAATATTGGCAACTAAAAAAACTTTCCTAGGAATATTGGTGACTCTCCTTTTAGTGCACAGGTCTTTTAAGAATTTGTCATAGGAAGGAACTTGTTCAATTACATCTACGAGAGGAATATTAACCTTAACCCGTTTAAAAGTATCTAAGATCTTCTCCATTTGAGGTGAGTGTTTTCCAAGTTTAAGCCTAGCTA